TGACTTATTTCGATTAAATCAGGTAAAGTTGAATGAGACAAGAATCGACCGCCATTTTGTTGTCGATCACTCACGAGGACACCCGGGCGGGAATTTCAAAATTTTCAAAAATTCTAAATTGTAGTATCTCGCAATGAGTCCCTGATTTTAAACTTAGGTCAAGACCTAGATTATGGGACCCCAGAAAACCTCAAAGCGAACTTTCTTTTCTATCTTTCGCGTCACTTCCGATTCAATTTCACAAACCGGAATAATCTCCATAATCTCCTCGCGGAAAATCGTGTGTCACGATACCGTAAGCGGCGTGCGCCTAATAAAACGCGCACGGTATTCTTAAAGCGTCGCTCGCCGCTTCCGCGTCCTCGCGGCGGACATTAAAAGCGGCACGATAATGGAAACACCGGACGTTGATGTATCTTAATAAGATACCGCGTGTATACGCGTGTTATTTATTGCCGATTAATCGGTGTTCCGCTAGGGAACGAGGTAAAACCCGCGCTACCATTTAAGGTGTTCGCGGCACGAAAAAGAGAGTTTCGCGTCGAAGTCCGGCGTCCTTCCGACGCTCGCCGATATATCAGCCGATCAACCGAGCCTGCAGACGTTTCCCTTCGCAATTTACCGACCACTGTATTTTTCTGCACGTCCTTATCGAGACGTGTCCCACCGTGTCACGGTCGCCTTGACATCGGCCTACCGCCGTTATCTGAAACGTATCTCTCGAATAGTAGCAACTTGACCTCCCCCGTATTTTCAGCTTTCCTCCACGATCCGATACAGAATCTTTCCACCCTCGGGGATGGAAAGTGTCCAGGTTCCACTCTTGTTCGAGTGACCCCCTTTTTCCTCTCGCCATTCGGCAAACGTCACTGTTCGATGATAAGATAGAACATTGGGTGCCGAGATCTTTATGTTCCTCCAATTGAATTTGCGGAGGCTTATGGGCTTCTCAAGTGTTATGTGCTGGATTACAGGAATGTGTTTTATGTTGTATTGGACTATTCTTTAGGTTTCTTTTGAGGGACTTCGGTAATAGCAGGTCTCTGCTTTATCTTCTGTGGAGGGTGAGTAAACTTGGCAATTTTTTATTTCTTATATAAATCAATTTTAGTATTTTCAGATACTCGAAGCTCCAAATTCTCAAACATAAATTTTTAGTTTCCGAAGTTCAACTTTCATATTCGCAAATTATTAGAACTCCAATATGACAATCAAATCCCAAATTTCTAAATTGTTCTTCTACATATAAATTTTTCAAATTTCCATATGTGTAATGTCTGTAAGTCTTCAACTCCCCAAATTCTTAAATACATTAATTTCTAAATTTTTAAATATTAAATCCCTTTTTTTAAGTGCAACAAAAATTTCAAATACGAAATATCAGTGTTTGATAATCAAGTTCCACGCAAAAGAAACCCCATGACCTTTTTCAGTTTTTTCCGCCCCTATAGCTCCGTCCAAGGTCAACCACTGTACACGAAATTCTTTCTTTCGGAAATTTTAATGCCTAACAGTCGATGATCGAACACGTGGGTCTGACTTCAAAGATATCGTTACCAGATAGAAATCGCGTTAAACTCCTTAACACTCAATTACACATGCACACATTTAATCAACGTTTTTCATTCCGCCGCTCGCGTTACATCCACGTTTCCAGTTAATCGCGACACGTTTACACTCGGTCGCTCACGAAACTCTGATCCGACTTGTTCTCATTCTTTGTCTCGACAACTCTTGTCCATTAATTTCGCACTTGATATTCAATTACGCGTTCACACGTACTCGAGTATTTCTTACGTTTCGCGTTTATTTTCGTATCACGACTCGCTGGTCACGAAACTTTGATCCGATTTGTCGTATACATTTTCTAGATTTCTTGTCTCCTGTATTAATTTACCCTCGACCTCTGGACACTCGGACATTTTTTATGGGTTTTTTCGCTTTGTTTCTGTTCTGTACACCCCCGTCTGCTCCAGACAAGCGATAAATCTTATGCGGTGGAGCTCATTGAAGCTCGAGCCCGAACTGTCTGCACCATCCCCTCGGTCCTTTGTCTATGGAAGTTCTTTTCATTAATTTCACGCTTGACGTTCAATTACATAGTCATTCATTTATCCACGAAATTCTTTTTGTCCTCGTTTATACTCTTTTTATGTTCATTTGATCGTGCTCTGTTATCCAATCCAGCCGAGTCATCTGTTGTCTCGGTAATGTACGGAGTGTCCGAGTTCACTGTCTGTTACTGCTAGAAAAAGTTGGAAAAATTGCTGATGTCTTGTATTATTTTAGGAAATTTCACGATAAACACATTGTCATTTCAAGGTCAACATTGTAGAAATTATATGTTCGACCCTGGACCCTGGATATTTTATAAAAATTTATATTTTGCCTAACAATAAGGGTGGTATGCATCAGCACAAATATTCTATGTCATACCTAAACAAATATAGATTATAAATTACCCAATTAAATTTAAATTATGTCGTACAAATCATTTTTTAACGTTCAGAAGATTTTATATAATTTCTTTATCCATTATACGAATTCGCATCTAACCGCGTATAATTTATACGTTCGCTTAAATTTTCACCCTTGTTCTGAACTGCTCAGGACACGCGATATATCTTGGCGGCCACAAAAGGCTCCCCAACTGAACTGTCCGTTGCATTCTCTCGATTAATTCACGCTCTACATTCACGTAACCACACAGTAATTTAAGAAACTTTGCTTTTTATGATATCCATTTAATCATTATAGTGGAAGCATTTAAGATGAACTATAGAGACGGAGAAAATATTTCAGACAAACGGTGTTTGTTTCCAAGGGGAGCATAATTCGAAATCGATACTCCATTTTGTAGATGGAAGTGTAAAAGACGTACGAAGGTCAATGTTGTTTTTCTCGATTTCCAAGAAACTGAAAGTAAATAACAGAAAATGTCGACGAACCCAGACAGTTAGATCTGGAACTTTGATACATAAAATTATTTTATTTAAATCAAATTTGTAAGACAGACAAGTAGAAGTTAGTTAAATAGACATAATCATTGAAGAGGTACAGTAATGACAAGAATTTGATATAATTATTGAACAAGTATAATGATAAAAATTTAATGTAGTTATTGAACAAATACAGAATACAGACAAGAACTTGATATAATTATCAAATAAATACAACGATAACTTGAATTTATTATAATTATTAAACAAATGTGATAACATGTAATCATTGCTGTTTTTTGTCATGAGAACAGTTATGTACAAAATCCATCTTAAATGTCTTATTCTAAAGACACTTCATTTTGTGCCCCAATCTATTTGATTTCTAATCAAACCTTCAGTTTCAATCAATCGAATCAATCCTAGGTCCTCCATTATGGCCCTCACGCACTGATTGGTATCCAACCCCAATATTCGCGTATTCTATCCTATTTTCTCTTCACTTTCGAACCACCCCGTTTCTTGACTGCTCGAGACAGCACGATATATCTTGAGCATTGGTGGCGACAAAAGCTCTCGAACGGAGCTGTCCTTCGCGTCGTCCCGCTTCTTTACCGTCGGCCATTTTCTCACTCTGAAAGACCGAAAGAACTCGTTACATGGTGGCTACGTAACGAAACGCAGTCGCTCTTTCATCGCCGTCGACCACTATTTGTCAAGCTCTCCTCGCTAGAAAGGCCATTAACGTTCCTCCGTTTCCTTTCGCAACACCGGGCCTTTGTTCGTATCTACTTGCCTATAACAGCAGCGAATTTTACAGTGGGTGATCAGATTATTATGGCCGCTTTAAAACGATCATTTATTCCGAGTCGAAGCTGTGTGATTGCGACCACCCGCAACTTTCAACACCTTTTGCGTTTTTAGAGACCTTAATGGAATTCTGTTACTAATTTTATAATCTTAATATTGCAATAGTTAGCTGTGTATTCAAATACTGTATGTAGTCGAAGAAAAATCATAGGTTAAGGGGGTACTGTTCCAAAATGTATTGTAAGATATTTATGTTTACCTAAGTCTCTATCAAGACATTTGATCGCTCTGTTCATACATCACATGTGTAACACAACATCGTTTGTATCAAGTCTATGTCCATATCTTGATGTATCTACAACATGTCACATGTGTATGTATATCAAGTCTATCTTTATATCTTGATGTACCTACATATCACATGTGTATGTACAGCAAGTCTATGTCCATATCTTGATGCATTTACAACATGTTACATGTGAATGTATAACAAGTCTATGTACATGTCTTGATGTATCTACAATATGTCACATGTGTATGTACAGCAAGTCTATGTCCACATTCTGATGCATCTACAACATGTTACATGTGTGTGTATATCAAGTCTATGTCCACATCTTGATGTATCTACAACATATCACATGTGTATGTATATCAAGTCTATGTCCATATCTTGATGTATCTACAACATGTCACATGTGAATGTATATCAAGTCTATGCACATGTCTTGATGTATCTACAATATGTCACATGTGTATGTACAGCAAGTCTATGTCCATATTCTGATGCATCTACAACATGTCACATGTATATGTATATCTAGTCTACGCCCATATCTTGATGTACGTTTACATATCATATCTATAACACATCATCAAATATCTATATCAAGTGTGTGTCCATGTCTTGATGTACAGTATATCATAACTATGTCTCAATCAGTACTATGTTTATACCTAGATGTAGACATCTGATGATGTGCTATATGTGTGACGTATAAATAGTGAAAGAAACAAAAGTAATAATTAATACAGAAATAATGATTTCATTTTATCGAACTCCCGAAGCAGAAAGTTTGAAAGTTAGCTAAATACCTTCGATCGCAAAATGTCTAACACGAGAAAGCTTGCAGAAAAACTGCAAAATGCATGAACTTCTGTTGTTTGCTGACACTAATGACACACATGTTTATCTGTACATGAATCAGGTTCAACTACCGTCCGGAATAAGTCATCGTTCACGGCCATTCTATGTTTCGGCCAGCCGATCGACCCCTGAGTTTCAGGCAGCACGCCAGCGAGTGGATCTATAAGGTCAGTCTTAACGGCAAAAACGCGCGGCTAATGCGGAATTCTCCGTGGCGGTGGTCTCTGCCAAATGGGTCAACCGTGGAGAGACTGGAACAGGCGATGTAGCAAAAGTCTACGAGAGAGTACCACGACGATGTTCGCGCCATTTCAGGAGCCATAAAAGTCGGAACTCGCTGCCGTAATCTATACCGGTCTCTCTAAACGAATTATAGTGGATTTAACGCTGAACAGCCTTGAAAAAGCACGACGGTCACGGAATCGATCTTCCCCACTCGCTTTCCTCTTCTACGCCTTTCTCTTAACCCTTCTTTACCTTTCGCTATCTCCACGAGTGATTTTTCTTGTATCGAGGAGGGTACGAAGGACAAGTTTTAAACGCGTGAATGCAAATTTTAAAAATAAATTTTAGGACGTGTATCTACCAATGATCACTACTGCAAATATACTACTTCAAATCTTAGTATAAATTTTATGATAGAAGTTTTTGTATTAAATTCTAGTTTTCGGACGGATACATTAACTGCAGCGAAATGAGGTTAGGAACGCGTATAGTCATTGAAGTTAACTGGTTATGAAGTTATGTCACTTTTAATTGTTATATTTTACTTTTTATTTCTCAATGTTTTTGATAGTTCATCAAGATAATAAGTACTGTCGATTTATAAGTTAGTAACTACAAATTAAATTTATTTGCTGTCAAGGTTATTTTAACCCATTGCTACATGATCTCAATTTAAAGTAAAAATTTCTAATGGAATAAAAATTACTTATAGAAATAAAACTTTGTTCTCATAGAAGTAATTATGACAAAACATATGCACTCATAAAAATAATAATAATAAAATTTTTGAAGTCATACCAGTAAAAATAATAAAACGTCTAAACTCACAGAAGTCATAATATTAAAACGGTCCTACAATATGACTTTATTTATTAAATTCACTTAAGTAATAAGAAAATAGTTTCAATACTTAAAAAATTAAAGTATTAAAATTGAAGTAAGAAGTTAATATGTAACATTCTTAGAAGATACAAAGAATGGTTGATTGCAACTGACATAGCAAGGTTTCAGTCGATGAGAAAATCTGGCTTAGGAAAGCAGAAACGTCCCCTCTCGGCAGCTGCAATTTATTCGTTAATTGCTGTGTAACCTTCTAGCGCACGAGCAAGTTAACTAACGAAAAATTGCGACCCGTCACTAGCAAATGTTACCCATAGCTTTCGGAGCGAGTGGTCCGCTCGGTTCTACTCGCTTCGTTATCTCAAACCCGCGACTTCAATTAACACCCACGCGACCGTCTCGCTCGATCCGAATCCCTCTTCTTAATTGGCAAATGATTTTTCGCCACGGAGATACGCCATATGATACCTTCGTTGTAAATTTTAATTATTTAGACATTTTTTATCTAATTGAAATTTAATGTAATTTCTTTACTTTAGAAATTTTCAGAAATTTGTATTTTCAGGATTTTTAGATTTTTAGATTCTTAGATTCTTAAATTTTACATTTTTACATTTTTACATTATTACATTTTTACAGTTTTACATTTTTACATTTTTACAGTTTTATATTTTTACATTTTTACATTTTTACATTTTTACAGTTTTACATTTTTACATTTTTACAGATTTACAGTTTTACAGTTTTACATTTTTACATTTTTACATTTTTACAGTTTTATATTTTTACATTTTTATATTTTTACATTTTTACATTTTTACAGATTTACAGTTTTACATTTTTACATTTTTACATTGTCAGATTTTCAAATATTGAAATTCTCACTTACAGATTTATAAATTTGCAAGTTTTGAACTCTTCACAATTTTAAGTTGCTAAATTCTCAAATGTTTCAATTATTAAGCTAGTAATGTACAATTTTTTAAACTCACGATTTCATACATTTTTAAATTTCCAAACTTGAAAGTTATCAAATTTAGAAGTTCATAGATTTTCAGTTATCAAATTTTTAGGCTTGTACCACTAATCTAAACTATTTAACATAGAAAACCAAGTATCTCAAAAATAAAAAAAAACATTAAAAAGAAAGAATATTAAAAATTTTACAAATACGTGCTTGAGCATATTAGCATTATTAAACGAACATAACAATTCGTCGCGCAAAATTAACCCCGATAACGAGCACGTAATTGAAGTAATCTATGAAAGCGATCTTGTAATGTCTTCCACAATACCAGGTCGATACTTGGAGAAGTTCCATTAAAGTGAAACAAACTGGTAATAAAATCTTGGCAAGCAGTAATCCAAAGGAAAGTTGAAGCTATATAAACTTTTTCGTACTTTTATCAACTTCAAGTACAATTGCACATGTACACGTTTAAATCTGATATACTGCTATTAAAAGCATAAAATATTTAACGAAGTCGATATAAGCCTCTCTGGATAATGGCACTTGCAGTCTCATTATTTCCATCCTAAATAATACGGTGCTTTTAACGGTGTCTCATTTCAACCAATTGTTCGGTACTCGATTAACTAATTCCGATATTTCGCTGGAACGTGGATGGTCACTTTACTTTTAACGAAATTTATCATTTTTTTACGTTTAGTGGATATGTTACTATTTTCAATAATATTCGGTGGCTAGATACTTTTATTACAAATTTTTCAATTTATTTACGGTTCACAATTTATTTACTTATTTAGATAAAGTTGTTGGAATTTATAGTAATATGCATTTAGTGGATGCATTGATTGCAACTTGCAATAATATGCATTCAGTGGATGCATTCATTATACCTTGTAATAATATGCATTTAGTGAATGCATTCATTGCATTGTTTAACAATATGAGTTTATTAGAGTACATTCATTGCAAATTAGAGTAATATTAATTTACCAAATACGTTCATTACAATTTGTAATAATATGAATTTACTAGATGCATATGCATTGCAATTTATAACACTATGCATTTATTAGATATATTAACTGCAATTTATAACAATATACACTTATTATATATTTATCAAAATTTGTTCCTTACAATTTATAGTAATATTCATTTACTATATACATTCATTGCAATTTGTAATAAAATGCATTTACTATATACATCCATTGCAATTTATAACAGTATGCATTTACCAGATGCATTTACTACAATTTATAACAATATGCTCTTACCACATATTCATTAAAATTTAGAGCGATATTTAATTTCTTTTATTTTTTCATTTCATATGTCTGCCCTCATCAGTTTTAAAATTTCATTAAAATTGCGCTTGGAAGTTTCTTTGCTCCTCCGCCGTATAATTTTAATAAATTAATTTCGTACCGCATGGTTCCATAGTAGTCAACGAGTTGAAATATCAGCCCGTCGGCAAATATTTTCTTTCTAAGGCAGGGACGGGCAATCTCGAAGTGATATATTGTTACCTAAACAAATCAGGGTGGCGACGTGACATGCCATTTTAAGCGGCCGTCACAACTGTTCAATCAGTTGTTACTATAATTGTTTAGCAACAAATCTAAAATTGCCCTACACCAACATTAATAAATTCTGAAGAAACTTTGTCAGAATTAATGTTTCGAAATAACATAAATACTTGAGAGTTTAATTCAATTCAATTTAGTGTAACTCTGTGAACAAACTATTGATCCTGTAATGAATAGATTTGAACAATATTTAGTATACTTGTAATTAAAGAACACAGAAAAATAGAACTTCATGTCCTGCAAAAGTAACCAACATAAAATTTAAAGTATAAAATTTCAGTATACAAAAATTAATGAAAATGATGTTTCAATTAATATTTCAAATTGAAGTAAATACACAGAAATTTTTATACAACAATAAATCAAGATAAAAGTCACCTTTTTCTACCACAGTATATCTGATCAAGATAATCGCACAATGTGGTGACACCTTAAAAAGGCATGTTAATCTGTGTCTAGCTCTGTTTGAATTGCAATGTATCACGTTACTTCAAGAAATTACTTGATGTTCATCCTTGTGCAAATGCCTACTGTCTACACCACTTAAAAGCACCGCTGTAACAATATCCAAAAAGACCAATAATATTAAGACAAATTGGAACAAGTATATAATACACAATTTCATCATTAAGTCGCACTCACAATTTTTCTAATCTATTTCATCAAACCAGAAGTTTAAAGTTCAAAATAAAGATTTGTTATCGATTGCACATGATTCATATTCAAGGTCATTCAAATTTAATGTCAAAGTTAATTCATTGTTAAGGTTATTTCATTACACTTCAAGTTCTGTGTTACTCTAGTTTTCATACCATATGTGTTTGAAGTTTCTTTAACAACAATTTCAATAAGAAAGATATTTTTATTAATACATTGTTGATCGCCCTTGCATTTTTCAATTTTCAAAACTCATTCAGCATAATATAGGACATTGTGAAAGCCTTCCTCAACCTATTCAGTCATGTTTGCTTTATTGTAAAAATAGTTCTCTTGATACTTGCGTTCCCAGTTCTAGTGTTATAAATATTTCAACCATGACGAGTTGTGACAGAAAAAATTGTTCAATGTACACGAAGGCTGCGTTGCTATACGTCATAAATTAAAACACTCATCCAAACTTATTAAAATATGAATAAATTCCACGTTCAAAATTATCAGTATAATGAACAATAATTATTTATTAAGAAACAATTTTCTTACTCTACGTAAATTTTTCTGGTCAACCAAAAAATGTCTGTAAATTAATTCTCCTAAAATTCCATATTTGAAAACCCAAAGTAAGTAATCTTACATTTCTTGAAGTAAGAAATTTTCCTAATTTTCTAGATGTTGTTCCTATGGTCAAGAGAGCCAGCACCCAGTCCAAAAGCAAGTCCCTGGTTCGCGTGGTTCGCGACAGCGCTAGTCCTCTGGCGTTGCAGAAGAAGCGTGGCGAAAGCCATCCTAGCCGTGTCGCCCTTAAGGTTATTGAAGAGACGTCATCTCCTTCCTGCAACGACATCAAAGGCCTCGTCGACGGTCCCCCTATTAAAGCAGCAACGACTGAAGCTAGAAAATCCCATATCGCAACGGAAACACAGACACTCGGGCATCAGGACGAAGGTGAAACGATTGTGCACCGGTGACGGGCCACACGTGACTAACTCCAGCTCCCCAATCCAGCAAATTCACTATAAAGTCACCAGAAGTGGCAAGGTATACGGGAAATATAACAAGGTCGTGATGCCGGCGAACTGCAACCAAGGAAGCCATTGAACAGCGACCATTTTCTCCGACTGCTTAGCCCTTTGTGTGACCATGGGCAAAGTCGTGTGAACGTCCACGTAAATACCGTGTGTGTAACCACGATGTCCTTATGTCCGCACATAAAATATTACACCAGACGGACATGTTGTTTTTGCTCGACGAACAACCGCGATCTCCACTGTTTTGTAACGAGATTTTAGAGACTTCTTTACTTTTGGAAATATGTTTGTTGTATAATATGGACGTTTTGGAGAATGTTTTAAACACTTGTAGAAAATACGAGATGAGATTCAGATGTGCATTGTTTCTTTGATTCTGAAAATTTTCTGGTCTTTCGATTGGAAATGATGCGCTTCCGCAAACGATTTTTGAATCAATCGGTCGAAAATATTCGTTCGATGGAAACGGAAAGACGTTCGGGTGGAAGTAGGTCAAAAAATAATCGCCGTTTATGGGAGTTGCTACTCTTGGCATGGTAAGTAATTCTAAAATTCATATACTTTATTATTTAAAATACTACGATATGGAGGATGGTAAAATGAAACCTCAAGGTATTATTATTTTAATTCTAGAATGTACATGCAACACTGTCGAAAGGGCTATTCAAAAATACCCATATTTTTCAACTCTTAAAATGCCTCTCGTACCTTTCGCACGAAAGACGTCTTTGATCAGAATTTCTCGTTACGTGCACAAGGTAACGTCAAATTTTATCGAAGCACAGTGCGTTTTCGCGTCAAAGGACTCAAGCGGTTTAGCAGAGGGTGCGACTATTAGTCTTCTTGCTTCTTCCTGATGTCCTCGGCACAGTTTCGAGTGCCGAGGTCGTTTGACAGAGACCTTCGTCGGGGTCACTATTGTATCTACAATCCACGACGACCACGAGCGTCGTTTTGGACTCATGGTCCCTCTTCTCTTCTCCCATCTACGGCCAGATCAATAAGCATTCGGTGCGTTTCGATAGCTCACGACATATTCCATATGCCTCGCTATATGATTTTCTATGTTGCGCAATCATTCGACTTTTCGTTCTCCAAGTCTGTGGAAATCGACTGCACCGAGTTGGTACAAGATCGCCATTGACGCATCTTCTTCACGTTCATTGAATATTCTTTGTGTTTCCGCGTCGTTTGACGAAAACTGAGGGCGACATGATGGCACATGCACTTCGCAGTTGAATTAAAATATTGAACGCTGTTTTTTCAGTTAAATTGTTGGACACTATTTATTGCATTATCCTGTCAAGCAGTATTATTGAATTACCCTATAAAGTACTATTTATTAAATTAGCCTATCAACCACTACTTGTTAAATACAAACATAGTATTAAATCAAACAATCAATTATTGATTCATTATACTGAATACAATTTTTAAACACTGAAATATATTTAAAAATTGTGTGTAGAAAGTTTAACTTTATAGTGATGGTACAAATTAATTATGACTCTCGAAAGAGAGGTTAGGTTGAACGTCTCTTAGGACCATTTCTAATAGAAAAAATTAGGTTATAGTTTCAGTACATATCACTAAAAATTGACAGAATTTGTAAGAAACACTTAAATGCAGAAAAAGGGTACTGACTGAAGTATATAGCTAGTCTTCGAAGCTTTAAAGCTGAACCTTAAAGGCTAACCTTCTAAGACTAATACCTTTAAGGCTCAAGCATCGAAACTTTTGAGGTTAAAATAAGAAGTTAACATGAATTTTAATCAATTTTTCTGGTGAGAATTATTTAAGAACTTCAAGTAGTACTAACTATTTGTAATATTGTAAAACTAGCTGTTTTAAAAGTACACAAGAAAAATCACTGAAATAGAATTACATTTGATAAAAACTACAAAAATTATAAGAAGAATAATTCTCAATGCTATTCTCATTATTAAATTTATGTCGTTATGACCCAAGTGACATTAATAACTATCATGATAAATTTATACTAACTAAAATTTCTACATATATCACAACCCTAAAAATAGGGAATTATCGAGTGACTACAACATAAAATACCTCAAACTGCAAAATACCTCAAACAGCAAAATACCACAAACTACAAAATGTCAATCACCTATCTAAAAACTCTTATTAATTCAAAAAATTCAGCTCGTAAAATTAAAAAGAATTGTTCAAAAAACTTTCATGAAAAAAGTGATGAAAAGATGTCAGCATCGAGAGACTGAAACGCTTAAGTCCGTGTGTTGTCGTTCCATTTTTGTAACGGTTTCTATATACGACCACTCGACGGCAGCTATTGTCTAAGGCCTCAGACGGTTTCTATTAATAATTTCAACCCCGTCGATCGGGAATGTGGTTAAGGGTTCCTAGGGAATCCCCTGAAAGTCAGCGTCTGACGGGATACGTCAGATTCGCCGGCGCAACAGGGCATTGAATCATTAAATTTGGCACAGTTACGTTTTCATTCTGAAACGACGACGTGCAGCACACCGATATACGCTCTGCTCATTCTAAAACCACGGCCATTGTGCCACAAATTGGCACATCTCTGATTAGAAACTTGCCAGCCGGTTCATTGTTGCGTGGACTGTGGCAATGCGCGTGCGACGATAGGAACAGCCGTTGAGACGATCTCGAAGAAACTTTCGCGAATGAATCTGATTATTCGAAGGAGGACATTGCCCAGTTTGCTTTATATTTTTATCTGTTGTTTAATGACGAGTTCTTTGATTCATTTTTGTGTACTTGAGAGCCTGGTAGGGTTAAGTCGGTTTTTGTTAATTTTCAAATTTTTGGTGGGCGATTTTTTCTTATTGAATTTTGGGATTTGGGGGTTTGAGAATTTGGGGATTTGGAGATTTGCAAATTTGAGGATTTGGGGATTTGAGGAGCTGGGGGTTTGAGGATTTGGGGATTTGAGGTGTCGGGGATTTGAGGAGTTGGGGATTGGAGGAGTTGGAGATTTCGGGATTTGGAGATTTGGAGAGTTGGGAATTTGAAGAGTTAGGAATTTAGAGAGTTGGAAATTTGAAGAGTTGAGAATTTGGAGAGTTGGGAATTTGGAGAGTTGAAAATTTGAAGAGTTGGGAATTTGGAGAGTTGGAAATTTGGAGAGTTGGGAATTGAGAGAGTTGGGAATTTGAAGAGTTTGGAATTTGGTGAGTTGGGAATTTGGAGAGTTGGGAATTGAGAGAGTGGGGAATTTGGAGAGTTGGGATTTGGGAGAATTGGGAATTTAGAGAGTTGGAAATTTGGAGAGTTGGGAATTTGGAGAGTTGGGAATTTGAAGAGTTGGGAATTTGGAGAGTTGGAAATTTGGAGAGTTGGGAATTGAGAGAGTTGGGAATTTGAAGAGTTTGGAATTTGGTGAGTTGGGAATTTAGAGAGTTGGGAATTGAGAGATTGGGGAATTGAGAGAGTTGGGAATTTGAAGAGTTGGGAATCGGAAGAGTTGGAAATTTGAAGAGTTGGAAAATTCGATATTTGGATATTTGCATATTTGGAAATTTCTAAAATTGAACATTTGGCTTAGTGATCAGACTTCGTAACGAAACATCTGCATTTATTTTAAAGAGCTTGCAAGTTCCCGTCTTGAATACCAAACACAGTCGGAGTCTCTTAATCGATCATTCGTAGCGACGAAAACCTCGTTCGTTTGCAAACGAGTTTCGGCGCCGCGTCACCTCGGAATCGAATTAAGTAATTAAATTCCCGGGTACTGATTACAATCTTTGTTCGAACGAGTCCAGCTTTGTCCCACGGCAACGTCGAAGCCTCCACGCGGCTCGTGTACGCGAATTTCCTGTTTTTTAATCAAGAGCGTACGAAAATAGCGCGCGGGAAGACTTAATCAGCCTGTCTAACGTGAGTGGATGAAAGGAGGTTCTATCTGATTTGAATAGAGCGACGCTGGGATGGGGCTTCGTTAAGGTCACCGGCAAGACCTTGCCTATACTGAATTACGCGATCACCAATTTCACGTCATAGATACTCTATATCGGCCAAATAATATTGACTCATCGAAAAGTAATTCCCTTCTAACACTTTGTTTTATATAACCGTGGCAGTTCACTTTTGACTTGCTGGTTTAACATGATTAAGCTAATTGTTAAACGTGTGAAGCGTCATTATTCCTTGAATCGCAAGGGTAGTTTCGAACAGTAGAATCATTTATACGATTTTTAAGTTTTCAAGTTTCGGATTTAGTAATTTTTAAAGGTTAATATTTTGTCATTTTATGATTTATAAATTTTTGTACTTTTAAATTTGTAAATTTTACATTTGGAAGTTTTTAGACTTTAATGTTCTGGTATTTGGAAACTTTGACGTTGCAGATTTGGATAAGTTTGTACATTTCATAAATTTTTCATTTTTTCAATTCTTCAATTCTTCAATTCTTCAATTCTTCAATTTTTCAATTCCTCAATTCTTCATTTTTTCAATTCTTCAATCCGTCAATTCTTCAATTTCTCAGTTCTTTAGTTCCTCAATTCCTCATTTTTTCAATTCTTCAATTCTTCAATCCTTCAATTCCTCAGTTCTTCAATTCTTCAATTCTTCAATTCTCCAGTTCTTCAACTTTTCAATTTTTCAATTACCTAGGTTCCTTATTTGGGTGCCAACTTTTTCACTTAAAAAAATGTAAAAATAAAAATGTATATAAAGACCCAAATAAAAATCAATAAAAATGTAAATAAAGTTCCAAATAAAAATCTGAATGAAAATGAATAACTAAAAGTCTAAATAAAAATCACTAAAAATGTAAATGAAGATCTCAATAAAAGTCCGAATAAAAATCGATAAAACAGTAAACAAAAGCTAAACAAAATCGTATAAAAGTGTATGATTCCTACATATATTGAATTGTTACCTAGTTAAGTGGCAGAGGAATCATTTAACCTAGCATTATGTAAATCTAATTGAAGATTCGAGGTGCGAGAGCGACCTCGACGAAGGTTCTGCGTTCATCGCAGGATATACATAACTGATGCGAAACACGCGAGTGAGAGTCGATGATAAAGTGAAACCACTTTGTAAAATGCACTTGGTCGAGATAAGGGGAACGCGAGGAACGTATATCCGAGTTGATTACGCTGATTCAATTATTTCTGTCGTGTCATGAGCCAGCCAGGTAGGTGGTCCTATTTTAATCGACTCTTTTTTTTCATTGCCTATTGACACTTGTTTCGTACTCGGAATCCTATTATTGTTCCTTTCCCTCGCAACCGGTGAATTCGTTCCTGTGAATTCACCGGGATATCGAATTCCACCAATAAAATACCCTATAGACAGACAAATTGGATAGATTCGGTCCATCGTTTCAACGTATACGATTTTCCAATAAGTCCTTTAGAACGGTTTTTTTTAATAATAAAACGCACTTCAATTTAAACAACTTCTCCTCTGTTTCAATAGAAAGTTTCATCGATTACAATTACGGAGGTAAATGGGTATCGAGTTTGTATTGAAACCTCTCAGGCTGTTTATACTAACAAACTTCTTATATTACTTAATATTTAACACTTTAGCTATGCAAGAAATTTTGATACGAATTTCTCTGGAAATGCAATTCAAATTAGAATTACTAAAATTGTTTAAGGTTGATCGTAATTGTTTAAGGTTGATTGTAATTGTTTAAGGTTGATGTAACCGTAGGTGGATGACTTGATTCGTCAGCTGTTTCTAAACGAATTAAACTTATTAGTATGGGCAAATAATCCTATAATAAAAGAAGCCGAATCCTCTTAACTGCGTAGGTAGTTGACACATCAAGTTCCTTAATTATTTCTGGCTGACAAGTCACGAACTAATGTAATTAACATACGACAATATTATTTGAAAATAAAATTGAATTTTCAAATATATAAATCTATACAATATTTTCTTTCTAAACCGAGATTGCTACAGCTGACGAATCTTTAAAATTTTTCAAAAACACACAAATCTGCCTACCAAATATTTTTCTAAATTTGAATTCTTATAATTTGCAAATGAATAAAATTATATCTTTATGCTATATTTTCCTAGAAATACTATACTTGTGGTGAGGTGTGCCACACTGGTGCAAATAGGATTATTGCGTTCTGCAGTTGCAGCAACAGTAAATCCTTCAGGGTTCCGGGGCATTCTCCATACGATCATCATTACGCTACATCGGTCAATGGAGAGTTAGTTACGGGTCATGGAGTGTTGCATAATTCCGGACCAGGTTCGAATGGAAAGGTCACCGTTTTCATGCATGTCGTATTTCAGCGACAGCGGAACAATTAAATGTAGTCCAACGCGAAGATAGATGGTTTCGATTTCCAGATGTCCTTCGGGCTATCTCTCATTAACGTTCATTAAAGATACTCTTATTTCATCTTCGATCTGTGATGATATCTTCTGTTATATTAATCACTGTATTTTCATTGCACGTAATTACTTCTTCATGATACACACTTTCTTTTTCACGATTTTTTATAATCAAAACTTAGTAGTTTATGACTTTTTATTGTAAACATTTACTTCTTTTATTTTTGAGGAAGATTTTGGTGGAGAAGACCGGAAGACGTGGTCATATGTAGAGGTTAGGTTCAGAGTTACTGAAATACATTATACATACTGATATGTGTATGAGCCACATTGTACATACTCATATGTGTATGAGCTACATTATACATACTCATATGTGTATGAGCCACATTGTACATACTCATATGTGTATGAAGTACATTATACATACTCATATCTGTGTGAACTACATTACACATACTCATATGTATATGAACTACATTATATGTACATACTCATATGTGTATGAACTACATTACACATACTCATATGTATATGAACCACATTACACATACTCATATGTATATGAACCACATTATACATACTCATACGTATATGAACTTCATTACACATACTCACATGTATAATAACTACATTACACATACTCATATGTGGATGAACTACATTATACATACTCATATCTATATGAACCACATTATACATATTATACATACTGTATAAACAAGTATTCAATTATGAAAACAGATGATCTACCCAAATCTGATAGTCAATTTCTCAATTCACAGTTTCAATAATTCAAAAATGTCAATCTCTCAAATATCTCCCATAAAAGATCCCAAGAATTAATAATCGAAATTGATACCGCAAAAATATATACATACGTCAAACTTTAGTGATAGAATAATTGAAATAGAATAAACGAGGTAATTTTAATAATTTGATATGAAATTAGAGAGAATCGGTAACAAGATTGATGATACTGCTACTTATTGCGTCATTAGTATCGCTGGCACTAATATATGGAAAAGTCCTCGGACAGGTAATCGAATGCAAACGAAGCGTCTCGAGAAATTTGCATAATGGGATTTTAATCTGCAGACGCTGCGACCGCGTTAGGTGACACTTTATAGACGCATAAAAAGCGAGAAAATAATTAATCACAGAGGATCTGAAGGAACACCTGGCCAATTGGAGGCATAAATCTCTACATGCGACGTTACGGAATTTCATATCGTACGTTCTTCTCTTTCCCAAAAATTAACGACTCCATCGCTTCATAACAATGACCGGCGAATTTCCCAGGAATTCTCGAATGATATGAAACCATCCGATCGATCAATTTCCGATGACAGTCTCTGTTGCAATCAATCTTCCCCATCCAAATATCCCGAGTCACCCCAAAAATATCTACCGTTTATAGCAGCCAAACCACCCTCGACGTCGTTTCCGAGCTTCCGGGCGCAGCTGCGACGCTTGCGATTGAAAGCGTGATATAGCGAAGCACGTGTCGAGTTGAAAGCTGAAGAAGAAATCTCAACACGTTAATGTGAGAGAAAGATCCTTTATTTCACGGAGAAAAATAATTTGATATCGGGTGGCAAGTTTAAATGTTACTGAAAATTTATTAATTTTGCAAGGCTGTTGTATGGAATTTTAGTAAATAGCTAAATAGAGGATTTTTCATTGTCATCATCAGAGAGGTGCAACTAAAATACTTACAAAGATTTTGAGGATTTTAAATTTGCAAGATTTTGAATTCTCAAATTTCAAGTCCTAAGCTCTTAAGTTCTCAAGTCATAAATTTTCAATTGTCCTCTTTCATAAGTTCCAAATTTCCAAGTTCTAAAATTTCTAGATGTACCAAGTCTCTAATTTCTAAAACCTTCAAATATCGCAAGTCTGTAAGTTCTAAAATTTTCAAGTATCCCAAGTTCCCAAGTTCTAAGAATTCCAAGTATCCCAAATCTCCAAGTTCTAAAATTTTCAAGTATCCCAAGTTCCCAAGTTCTAAGAATTCCAAGTACCCCAAATCTCCAAGTTCTAAAATTTCCAAGCATCCTAAGTCTTCAAGTTCTAAAATATCCACCTATCCCAAGTCTTCCAGCTCCAAAATTTCCAACTAACCAAGTCCCCAATTTCTATAATATCTTATCCTATTTCCAAATTTAAACCCGTCGAAATCCGCGCGCGTGCAGAATTTGGCGCGAGTCCGCAGCTTAATTCGCGCGCAGGGGTTAGGCTGGTATCCACGCGAATTTCCCGGAAATCGACTGGATTTCGGTGACGGAGTATGTCAGGAGCGTTCGGTTGGGGCGCCGTAGCGTCGCGTCGCGTCGGCAGGCTTCGAGCCAATGCGCTGTGAAAATGCCCGGGTGGGAAAGGGTGGATCGGGGGTGGCGCGCAAGCGTCGTCGCGGTATCGACGCCTCGGCTCCCGGGCCGAGGGAGAGAAGCGGACTCAGGCGGTAGTAGTAAAGCCCAGCTCGGGTCGGCCGAGCGCAAATGTGCGCTCTACGTGCTGACAGTCGCGTCTCGTACGAGCTGCCCGAGCATTTCGTTCGCATAACGAGCGCGTCCCCGAAACGTTCATCGTGAGGGTTGTCCCCCGGGTAACATAGGAGGACATCTTCCAGTGAACATCCTCCGTTTTTCAGTGTGTGTCCGTTTCTCTCCACCTGTCTATCTTTACTCGTTGTCCGTCTCTGTCTCTCGTTGTATCCCCGACTCCCTCTCCGTCTCTGTTTCTCTCTCTCTCGGTCCATCGAGGGGGTAAAAGTGGCGCGAGCACGGGCAGACCCAGCCGGAGACTGGCGGTGTTCGAGGCACTGGCGCAGCTGGTGCACGAGATCAGGATGAAATCGAGGAGGTACGTGGTCCAGTACGTGGTTCACTGCAAAGATGGCAGTTGGTAGGTGGTGCGTCACTGTGGAAACGATGTCACGGTGATGCTGCGTGGTCCGGATACGCGTTCGCTTCATTCATGTGCCCGACTGTTCAACCCTGACACACCATCTCGCGTCGGTCTCGCGATGCGACGGGGTTAGGTTGCCAGCATCGAACCGCGGGAACGAGAAGGTTAAGTCCCGTTTGCATTTAAGACCACTTCACCCGGAGGCATCCTCCGTCTTCGTTCCATTATACGCCGTGGAAAAGAATCCTCGAATAATAGGATCATTCTTTAGGCCCGTAATCAAACGTGAATGGATATGTGTATACGTGAGGGAGGTTCACGGACAATGCGTGCTCTCCTTTGACGCTCTCTCTCGCTGTTGCTTTTCTTTCTCTTTCGTTTTACTCTCCCTTCGGAATCTCTTCGTCCGATTTATTCTCTTCTGTCTCTCTTAGCTTCCTCCGGCTGAACCCTTTCATCCCCCTTTCATAGTGTGGCCCACGTTCGGCTTCCTTTGACATATGCGCGCATACACGTACATGCACACGTACAGAGAAAACAGGAACGCGCGCGCGCGCACACAGAGTCGTACACAGACACGCACACGGTCGTTCGAAAATTGATGTCACGAGGCGAGGAGAGAGCGGAAAATACATAGATACACGTACATCAACGCCGGATGTACATTGACTCGGGACCTATCTGTGTGCTGCCGTCAGCTTATCACGACATGCGCATCATTGGGCAAATATTCGGTTAACTAAACAAGGCAGACCAACCGATACGTGTGCATGTACCGTGTGCAGTGGTTATATCGCGGTGTGACACGACGCTGGTTACAGCATCCCGATGCAACCGGAGATCCGTTCGTTCGTGCTTGCTTCTCTTGCTTCGACGATAATTGAACAGCTCCACCGGAAAATAAGTCACCGATTCACCTTGTATTCGACATCCACCCTCTTTCTTCCTATTATTTTTCCCTCTTTTCTCTCCTGCGCCCTTTTGTTGCTCGCTCGCTGCCGAAGCCGCGATTCGTCGACTGATCATCGACAAATGATACCGTCATGGTAACCATCGGGTGCCACGTTATTTAGAGTTGAATGCACGCAAACAAACGTTCCATACCTAACCTCTTTCGCGGAGTGCTCATAAAAAGTCATGAAACTGTCGATGAGCTCGGGAATCGAAATTAGAACTCAACCTATTATTCCTTCATACTTTTCTAAAATAAAATTCATTTCATGTATACATTATACTGTACTTCATGTTTAATTTTTTTTAAAAGATATTAATCTATTTGTCAAATAATGTAGGAAATGGTTAACCAAGATCTTGAGACCTAAGTATAAGTACTTTCTTGCAAATTTTGTATATAAATGAGAGAGAATTAATTTTATTTATTTGTCGATGTTGTGTAATTGATCTAGCTGAAAGTTTCTAGACACCAAAAATTTCCAAGTATACATTTTTCTAACATCATAAAATTCCTATGCTTCCAAATATAAAAATTTAAAGCTTGGAATCAAAAAGTTAATAATACAAAAATTAATGTTTAAAGCTTGCAAGAATCCGAAAATATCAGCTCAGGTAATTTTTCCCCAAGTAGTAATTTTCTCCAGAAAATCCTAAGACGACATCCATATTAATGTGCTTAGGCACTAAACACCTTCCTCAGTGAAAGGGTTAAATAACCAGGAAACGCGATAAACGTGGCATTATATCGTTAATGGATGAAACATTCGCGTGACTATAATCCGGAAAAAGAAGTAAACCATTTTCGATATAGATTCAATTTTTTCCCCCGGATAAAACTGCGCAATCTGAACGGGGGATATCGTTAAGAGTTTATCTTTCCTCGCTTTATTATTTTTTTTTTAGTTCATTGTTACCATGACTGAGATTGAAACGAAAACGATCAAATTGCCGGCAGGCAACAAAAGAACGATCCAATTGTCGAATAACGAGCGCGCAGTTTTAATTCGGTGTGCATTTCTTCGTTCTCCCTTTTGTCTCTGCCATCTACCAGTCCCTTTTTTCCCCTCGTTATTTTTCACTTCTTCTGCACTTGGAGAACGATTCGTCCGGTTTTTTTGTCGCACGGCAACTCGACTCTTGATTATTTGCACTTGAAATACGTTCGCCAGTGTAAAGAATATCGATAAGCGGACCCCCTGGTCCGGAACTTTTCTCATTAATTGAAGCACACCGTGTAAAAGCAGGGCGAGACGAAGGGCGTAATAACTTTTGCTATATAGGGCGAAATTCAGAAAGCGGGACGCTGGAGTCGTAACATGATTTAAAGGCTCAATAAAGCAAGCCACACGGATTAATTCATCTGCAGAACTTGCACCGGAATTATTTGCTACGGTATCAACCGTGAAACTAATCGCGTTTCCTTATTACGTTTTTATCGAACGCTTTCATTTAATCAAATCGTGGGAGAGCTTTCCTTCAATTTCTTTTGTTATTAGTACTTCTTTCTATGGGTCTATGTGATTACACATAAGTAACATATTTTCGAATTGTTTCTGTAAAATTTTGTATCTTTTAATCATATAAATATTTGTAGAAATATAACGAGTGTAAAAGTCTCCCAATTATTTTTAAATGAAAGTGTGAATGAGAAGAATAAGGTTAACTCTGCGTCCGCCATTATCCGCTTTCTTTTGTGCAAAAAAAATGTGAGACTATATCTTGTAAAACAGTATCAAATTTAATTAATAATTATCAAAATACCTTGGGCAAATAAGAAATAATAAAAGTAGAGAGTGAATATTTGTTTAAAACTAACCTATGAAAAAACTGTAGAATAATTTGAAAATAAAAAATGTATAATTTGTAAAGTATTTTGTGGAATTCTTCGAAAAAGATACTGATCGATAATCTTCTAAATGAAAACCTAATACATGCAATTTTCTCAGTTATTTGGCCGATCGTTTTATTGCAAGTATTCTTGGACCACATGCAAGCATAGATCGCGGAAAATTGTGGTGTCAGTGAAATATGGTTAATAAAACGCGGAGTACAGTACACTCGTTACTTTGTTATGTGAAATCAATACGAATGTCAGTGCAACTATTTTAAGTATAGGTTTTTTTATTAAAGTTTACGATGGGTGACATGAGGTGAACAATAGCTGGGTGACATGGAAAACCTATAAATACAATCGACGAGTTAAAAAAGTTTCTATTGAAAATTGCCTGATGTGCGTTTTTGATTTATTGTATCTTTAAATGATTAATTCGAAATTTTGATGTTTGATAGTACAAATAATTGTATTTCGAGAATGAAGCAATTATGAAATAATAAATTAATGTTATTTGATGTAGCGAATGTAATTTTTATACATATTTGGGGTTATGATTGAATTTATGCTACTTGTTTAAATAAATATAATTCATGTGTGTAATTAATTTTTATATCAAGAACAATTAATTCATTTTCATATCAAGTACGATTAATTCATTTTTATATCAAGTGCGATTAATTCATTTTCATATCAAGTACGATTAATTCATTTTCATATCAAGTACGATTAATTCATTTTCATATCAAGTACAATTAATTCATTTTTATATCAAGTATAATTAATACATTACTGTAGTTATTTCACATTTGAATTCAGCAGCTTTTTACATCTTAAAATTTGTAATTCGTCGGGCATCTCGAAAGCTGCATCCTCCAGTGGCCATCTTTCAAAAGAACTCTAACTTTTTGCTTAACAAGTTCCGCGATGGCTGTTGCTTGTCTTTTCTTCCGCGCCATTTACATTGAGACTCTCATTAGTCCTGGAAATCTGAAACAGTGAATCTACGAAATTCTTTGTTTCTACCCTTTGTCTTAATTGTGTGCACTGCATTCTAACAGCAAATAAGAAAAAGTTGTTTCTCTGACAAATATCGTTAGCGCCCGGTACAAAGGTCCTGTAACAATATAAAGTAATGATGTTCTATACAAATTTTATACGTACAGTGAATCTAAAAAGTATTCTCCTCTTTTGCAATTTATATTTATTTAAATAAATAGCATTAGATTTATGTGGATATGAATTGTAACCGTTAATAATTACTACTTTGAGTAATGCAATATGGAGTTTGATTATAGAATTATAGCAATATTATAGAATTATTGTACCTAGATAAGGTAGTTCAATGTAAGTTTGATCAGGTTTTTGATCAACGTTGGCTCAGTTTTTACTCGAGGTTCTAGGTATATTTCATGGTGCAGTAATACAACAAAGAATGAAGTCAGAAGCGATATAGAGATCTAAGAATGCAAAAATCTGGGAATCTGGGAACCTAGGAATTTGTGGATTTGTGAATGTAGGAACCTAGGTATTTGTGAATTTATGAATCTATGAATGTATAGGTCTATGGATTTAGAGATTTACAGGTTCAAGAGTCTACGAATTTAGTGATCTATGGAAATAGGAATCTACAGATATAGTGAACTATGGACCTAGGTATCTATGGATACAGAGATCTTCAGATCTAATGATCAACGGATTTAGGTATCTACGGTTTTAGGTGCCTACGCTCCTAGGTATCGGTGGGTGTAGATATTTATGGGTCTAGGAATCTAGGAATCTAGAAATTCGGGAATGTAGAAATCTAGAAATCTACGAACTTAGGAACCTAGAAACCTAGGAATCTTGGAATCTGGAAATGTGGAAATCTAAGAATTCAGAAATCTAGAAATCTAGAAATCTAGAAACCTAGGAATCTTGGAATCTAGAAATCTAGAAATCTTGGAATCTAGAAATCTAGAAATCTAGAAACCTAGGAATCTAGGAATCTTGGAATCTTGGAATCTTGAAATTTGGAAATCTAGAAAACCTAGAAATCTAGAAACCTAGGAATCTTGGAATCTAGAAATCTAGGAATCTAGAAACCTAAGAATCTTGGAATCTTGAAATTTGGAAATCTAAAAATCTAAAAATCCAAGAATCCATAAATCCAAGAATCCATAAATCTAAA